TCCGCCAGCGGGGCGCGAAGATCCTCGCCGCGCTCCGCGCCGCGCGGCGTCGCGCGGGGGTATGCCGACCGCTCCACGCGGGAGGCCACGGGCCACGAGCCACCGGGCCCGCACCCGCAAGGGAGAGCGCACACGCGGCTCATAGAGGCAGCACCCGGGGGACAGACTCTCCGGATCGCCTCCTCCTCCTCCTCCTCCTCCTCCTCCTCCTCCTCCTCCTCCTCCTCCCTCTTCCCTCCTCCTCCTCCTCCTCCTCCTCCTCCTCCTCCTCCTCCTCCGATCGGCTGCCCTGAGAATAGAATGAGGCCATGCGATGGTACCCCAGATTTCGTAGTAAAAGGGAGGGGGTCTCACTTCGGGGGGGGGTCTCTTCCAGGCTATCTGGGAGGGCCTGGGGGGGTCTGGGGACGATGTTCTGGAGGGTTCTCCCACGGGGGGGGGGTCTAAAACTTCTCGTCTGGGAGGGTTGAGACCCCCCTCCCTTTTATTACGAGATCTGGAGTACTGCACATGTGGGAGGCCTGACCGGATGCCATACGCGAGACCATGCGGGATGACGGAAGGTCGTACGGAAGTCCATGCGGGAGACCAGAGGGGAGACCGCGGGATGCGAGCCACGGATTCCAGTCCCGGATAGTCTCCCACGGGCATTACATCGGTTGGTAGCGACTCCACAGTCCAGTTGCTTATCAGGTGATGCCTACAGCAGGAACGAAAACCATAGCCTCGCTTGACGCTCTGGGAAACGCAAACATCGAATCCTAACAGATATGCTGTTAGGGGAAACGAGTGCAATTTAGCTTTCGACACCAACACGACCATATTATGCAACGAGTAGTGATGCGATCGGGGTTCGGCGCCTGGTATGCTTCGTGTTGTTCGGTTGTCACTTCCAGATATTCGTCTTGCGAGTGTACTGGCCTCCATGCGAGGCACAGGAGCTGTCTGTCTGCCTATGGAGGTCATTGCTCGCGTGGCAGGTTACTGTCGCTTTATTTCGCATGCTGGTGAGGGCCTTGCTCGCTGAACGGACATGCTGGATAGCAGCATGCTCGAGGGTATCGCCCAACTTCGACTTAGTCGTCTCGAACGGCATGTCGCATGTTTTTGATGATTTGACAACGGCGCATGCGTCCTACGGTGGTATCGTGTGTCGTCCCAGATGACGATGTCTTGCCCCCCCGCCCCGTCCTACTCTCGGCCCCTCGGAAGTGAGGAGGATGAGGAGGAAGAGGAGGAGGAGGAGGAGGAGTTGGAGTTCGAGGGGGGGAGCTCCGCCTTCCCCCCCCTTTCCCCCTTCCATTCCTCGTCCCCCACTCCTCTCTCCCTGCCCCTCCCTCGTCGCTCACCCCCGCCCCTCCCCCTCTTCCTTTCATCTCCTCCCCCTGTCCCCTCGCCCTCCCCTTCCCTTCCTTCCCCCCCACCTCTACAATTACTCAATATGAATACTACTCTTCCTCTTCCCCTGATGACGGCCTGGGAGTGTCCGACACCCCCCGGCGTACTTTTTTTTACACACAGGTTTCCCCGGAGTTGGGTTTTCGCCTGCATTGTTTTCCAAAATGCTGCTCTCGCTGATGCGCCGGCCTCATTTTCGGGCCCCGCTCGTTCCGAATCGTGCTGCCGCTGCAGCGCTGGCCTCATTTCCGTGCTTCCGCTCGTTCCGAATCGTGCTCCCGTTGCAGCGCTGGCCTCATTTCCGCGCTTCCACTCGTTTCGACTCGTGCTCCCGCTGCAGCGCTGGCGTCATTTCCCGTGCCATGTCACGGCGTGCAATGCAATGCTAGGTTGATATTACGCTTTGCGGTGCTCTTCTACGCCATGCCATGCCGTGCTCTACAATGCATCGCGTACCCTTTCGGGATCATTGCCCTCTCGACATCCGACTGTGCGAGCAGAGAGGGGATCTGCGCCATGGTAAGGGATGGGAGGGAGGGGTAGGATGTCAGATATGACGCGAGCGCACCTAGCTTGCCCACCACCCCCTCTCCCCCCCTTCCCCTCGCCGCCTCCCCCTCCCCCCCGTCCACCTCCACCCCCGCAGGCGCTGCACCTCCCTGAGCCCGTCGCGGCGGGCGGTGCTTATTTCCCCCCGGCCCGCTGAGCGGGCGGATGCCCCCCAGGGCTCGCCGGCTCGCCGCGCGCCGCGCGCCCGCGGAGGAGCGTTCGGCCGGAGCGGTGCCCACGCCGTCGCGAGGGGAGGGGGAGGGGGGGGGGAGGGGGGGGGGGGAGGGGGGGAGGGAGGGGGAGGGAGGGGGAGGGAGGGGGAGGGGGAGGGAGGGGAGGGGGGGGGGGGGGGGGGGAGGGGGGGGTGGCGACATGGACCCAGGCCTCCCACATGCGAGTCCGAGCAGGTGGGGTCGGAGGATCGCGACGCATCGCCGATGCAGCGGCGATGCAGCTTGATGTGGAGCCCGGTTTTTCCACGCCGACGTCGCGGATGCATCGCCGACGCATTGCCGATGCATCGGCGATGCGGCGCGATCCTCCGACCCCATCTACTCGGACTCTACTTGACAGGCCTCCAGAAGGGGGGTTCAAGTGTTCGTGGCGCCTCAAGAGAAGTTGCGCCTGCCTTCGTGTATTATCCCACAGCGCTTTTCCATTTCCTGTGCACGGGTTCCTCCACTGGCAGGCACGTTCCAAGCCGCTATGGAACGGAACGGAGGGTGGGGGACAACTTTCGGGGGGGATAGGCTCAGGGGCAACGTCAGGCTGAGGCTTGTGCACGTCTTTGTCGGTTCTCGGCGGTTTCCAGCCTCGCGGAACCGCGCCTCGGCGAGAGCGCTCCGGGGGAGCCCGGATCGCCCCGAGCGGCCGCTGGAGAGCCGGGCTGGACAGGAAAGCCAGGGGACAACGTCAGGGGGGTAAGGCTCCAGGGGGACGCATCGACCCCCAATCGCCCATGGATCGCCGGCCGTGGCCCGATAGCTCACCCTGCCCAGGGACGTGCGGCTTCGCTCTCGGCGCCCCGTCGCTGGCCCAGCGGCCATCTGTCGTGATGCATGGCCGAGTCCGTGCCGACGTTTCCCCACTGGGCTGACCCTCCCCTGCAGTGGAGGACCATGCCCCGGACACCCTGCTTGCCTCCAGGGTGCCCTGGGTTTCTTGGGTTTCGAGGGTTCTGCGGTGGAACAGCGTGGCGTTCCCACACCAAGGCCAATGGAAGTCCTGGGGTCTCAGGGCTGGGTTCCTTGTGGAAGGATTCTGATGGACTGGCCTCCCCTGCGCTCGCCCCCCTCGGGAGGGGGAGGAGGAGGAGCTCCGAACCTGGAAGGCCAAGGCCTTCGGGGGTTCGTTCACGTGTTGTTCCCCGGGTGCCGCGTGGAAGGCCCCCCGTGGCCACGGCCAAATCCGCTGCGACGTTCTGGTCAGAGGGCACCCCCGAGCTGGTCTCGGGGAGGGGGAGTCGGGCCAGGCGAAAGGGGGGGATTGGGAAAGGGGGGGTTACGAAATTCGCTGCATGCAGCTGGTTTCGGACTCACCGAGGCGCCCATTCCTCGATACATAGCCGCCTCCGGCGCTGGGAGGCGCCGGGAAAATCAGTTACGGTAGGTTCGTGTCGTGTCGACCAGCGGCGACCCCGCCGCCGGAGTTCAACGTTGAACGCCGACGGCGACCCAGAATCGATCGATGTTCAACTATGTGGCGTTTCGGAAACGGCCGATCGTTCAAGGTTGAAAGATTCCCGCGGTGTCACAAACCATCGCCTGGGTCGACACGACGCAAACCTGCGGTACGTGAGCTGATTCTGAACCCCCCCCTTTGCTATCCCCCCCTTTCGCCCGATCCGAGGGAGGCGCCTCGAACTCCGAGGACCGAGGCTTTGGGCCGCTTTTGTCCTGCTCCCTCTGTGTGTTTAACGCGCGCGGCCGCTGCCAATACAGCACGCCTCCCTGAGGAACCATTTGGGCTGCTCGCAGTCTCCCCTGCTCGCGCGCCGTCCGGTCGCAAGGGTTCTGACCTGAATTGAACTGTGAGGCCCCCGTGGCCACAGTCGGGCTTGTCTTGGGGATGAGGGGCAGAAGGAGCGAGGAGGAGGAGGAGGAGGAGGAGGAGGAGCGAGGAGGAGGAGGAGGAGGAGGAGGAGGAGGAGGAGGAGGAGGAGGAGGGAGCAGGCGCCGACTCCAGTGCGGGGCGTTCAGGGCTGGACGCCGGCGGTGCCCAGGAGCTGGCCGATCTCGACCGATCCGCGCCGTCGGAGGCCGCGATCGCTCGAGGCTGCACGATCCACGCGGCGCCAGAATAACGCAGCTCACAGACCCTTGGAGTCAAGTTGTTCCTCACTACAGGCGTTTCGTGTGTGCTCCGCAGTTGGTTCACCTCTTCTCGCACGTTTTGTATTTCAAGGTGCACATTGGTGATCTCTATTGCATTGGTTCTTCCCTTAGACCTGAGCGTTGTTGGTATATCCTGTCACGTTTGGTGACATTCGAAAGACATACGGATCATTGATTGCCCCCTTGGGGGAAACAACAAAAAAAAAGAAGCAGCTCACAGACCGTCGCGACACGGCCTTGCCGCAATCGAATTCCAATTTCTGCCCCCCCCCCCAGAATTGGCATCTTTTGGGGGCGCGCATCCTTCGCTTGCGCCGCCTCTTGCGCAGCCTCCGCCAGAGGAGGCCGCTCTCTGTGGCTCTGTCTCCGCCCGCCCATCGCCTGCCGCCGAGGAAGGTGTGCCGAGCCCACATCTGTCGATTCCTGGAAGGCGGGCCCTTTTCTCTGGAACTGCCCTTGTCGCTCTGTCGCCTCCCCTCTCGTTTCCTGTCCTCCCGCTTTGTCGTTTCTGCGCTTTGGGGTTGTCGTTGCGTCCCCCTCGGCCTCGTCTTCCTCCTCCTCTCCCTCGGTCCCTCGTCGCCCTCCAAAAAAAAACGAAATCCGTCGTAGCGCTCGGCGGGTGGAAAGAAATACAAAAAATGTGTATTGAGCACGCGGCAGCTGCTGGCGGTGGCAGCCGGTCCGCGCCCGCGAGCGGCAGTCTCCCGCCGCGCGCCGCGCAGGCCTGCCAGCGCGAGCTGTTCGTGCAGCGGCAGCACCGCTTCCTCGTGCGGCGCTGCGGCGGCGGCGGCGGGGAAGGCCCTCCCCCTCGGAAGAGGAGGAGATAGTAGAAGACCGTCCGTCCCTCGTCGCCAGGCTAGACTCGCATCGAAATCCTGGACAGAACGCGCCCCTGGAGAGGTACGGGGAGTAGCGGTATCCGTACGTGCTTGTCCTCCCACGGACGGGGGCCAGGAGGAGGAGGAGGAGGAGGGGGAGGGGGAGGAGGAGGAGGATGAGGACAGCGACAAAGGCGTCGTCGTCGTCGCTTTCCTCCTCCTCCTCCTCCTACTCCCTGTCTTCCTCGGCTCTCTCTCCGTTCTTTTCCTCCCTCCCCCTCGTCCTCCTCCTCCTCGTCGTCATGCGGCAGAAGTGCCACGACGAAGAGAAGGTGAAGCTCCATGTGGCGGCACCAGTGTGGCCGATGCGGGGCACGATCACGAATGCCTTCATCGCGGAGGGAGTGGCCCAGCGCAACACTGGTGTAGCACCGCCTGAATGGCTGGAAGACGAGATGGCAAGTTGGCTCGACGACTTGACCCAGTAGTGTTTGTTCGTGGAGAAACGATCAGGGTCACGGCGCCCTCCCCTCCTGCTCATCCTGCCCTTGCAGCCAGCCTCGCCGACTAGATGACGACTACTGTCTGTTCGACTTCGGCTGAGCAGCTGCCCCGTCGCATTGGCTACATGGTAGCCGAATGCTGCCCTGTCCCGTTCCCATCTCTCTTGCGCCGTGTATGGGTTGTGTCGCCTTCTGAGGCGCAGCCATCCCTCGCATGCAGCCTGCCTCCGCCGCGCTTGTGACGCTGCATCGATCGAGCGTGCGCACCAGCCTGCATAGCTGACCAAGACAGGATCGACAGGAGGTCCGATCCAGTGACGGGTTGCCAGACACATTGTACGCCATTTTCTCCAAGAACACTCAGCCCCATTCGTCGAGTAAGGGTCGTCATGCGGCTCTGGATGACCGAGGCTCGGGGGAACGAGGAAGATCGAGGTTCGCGGAAGGTGGAGGGACTTCGAGAGGACCGTCATCTACCCGTCATGTTCCCCATCTGTCCTCATCCCCCGTCATGTTCCGTTTCCTCCTCCCGTCCTTCCCTTCTTCCACCTTTTCCCTCTTCTTCCTCCGCCCCTCTGTCCTCTCCCCCCAACTCCTCAGAAGCCCCTAGCATTGCATCGGACCCCTTGCTCCTCGTTCTCGCCGCCCATCTGAGGAGGATCCTCTTTCCCTCTTCCCCATCCCTAACGGGTATAATCTCAGGTATCTTGAGGATCGAGGGAGGATTGATTATCAAGGTCTTGGTGCGTTCATGGACTTCCTGGGCCTCAAGACGCGCCTCGGGAAACGCCCATGACTCCAGGACACTTCCAGAGGTCACCAGGAGGGAGGGATGAGGAAGGAGGACGGGGGGGGCAACGGGGCATGCTGATTCTGATGACGCTGCTGATCATGATTCTAGCAAGGGCAATGCCGATCATGGTGGTGGTGGTGCTGATGATGGTAACGATGATGATGCTAGCACCTGGTTGCGATGCTGAGGGTGATGATGCTGATGATGGGGCTGATGATGATGCTGCTCCTGCTGCTGCTGATGATGATGATGATGACAGAGAGGACGACAGTGATGATGCTGATTATGATGATGATGCTGCTGATGCTGATGATGATGCTGAGTATGCTGATGATGATGATGATGATGATGATGATGATGATGCTGATGGTGGTGCTGATGATTGTGCTGAGGATTATGATGATGCTGAGGATGATGATGCTGATGACGACGATGGTGATGATGACGATGTTGATGATGATGATTGTGATGGTGATATCGCTGATGATGCTGATGCTGTTGGTGCTGTTGATGATGACGCTGCTGATAGTGATGACGATGATGGTACTGATGATGATGCTGAGGATGATGATGTTGTTGTTGTTGATGATGAGCATGGTGAAAGGTATGCTGCTGGTGCTGTTGACGATGATGCTGACGATGTCGATGACGATGACGAACATGCTGATGGCACTTAGGGTGCTGAGGATGATGTAGGTGACGATGAACATGACGATGACGAGAGATATGATCATGACGCTGCGTATGATGACGACTGCCATGATGATGATGTTGATGATGATAGCGATGATGGTGATACGGACTGGTGATGCTGATGCTGTCTCTGCTGCGGCTGCTGCTGCTAATGATGATGATGATGCTGCTGCTGATGATGATGCCGATGATGATGATGATGATGATGATGATGATGATGATGATGCTGATGATGATGATGATGATGACGATGATGATGGTGATGGTGATGATGATGATGATGCTGATGATGACGATGACGATGACGATGACGTTGACGATGACGACGACGATGACGATGACGATGGGATGCTGATACTGCTGATGATACCGATGCCGATTATAATGTTGTTGCTGCTGACAATGGTGATGGTGGTGGTGATGATCATGCTGCTGATGATGATGGTGATGATACTGATGCTGCTGTTGATGTTGGTGCCGCTGATAATGGAACTGATGGTTGTGATGATGATACTGATGATGGTGCTGTTGCTGATAATGATGATGCTGCTGCTTATGATGATGATCATGACGCTGGTTGTGATGGTGGTGGTGATGATGATGATGATGATTATGATGACGAGCGGGAGGAGGAGCAGGGGGGGGAGGAGAAGGAGGAGGAGGAGGAGGAATGTGCTCATGGTAAGGATAAAGATGACGATGGTGGTGGTGGTGGTGGTGGTGGTGGTGGTGGGGTGGTGGTGGCGTCGTCCTCGTCGTCGTCGTCGTCCTCGTCGTCCTCGTCCTTACCTTCGTCGTCTTTGTGGCCCTCGGCCTCTCCGCCGTGCAATGGCGTGGGGCAGGCTCCCCGGGACTGTTCGTGCGGCGGTGCGGCGAGCCGCTGGGCCGCGGCGGCCTCGCGGAGGGGCGGCTTGCGCCCGGGGAGCTGGCGGAGGGCTGGGGCGCGCTGGAGTTCAGGCCGGGCTCCTGTCCTTCCCTCCCTGCTATCGATGGTAAATCATGGGATCGAGCAGCGGCGAAGCGTCCTGGCTTGCCTATAGGCCCACCAAAATCATGTTCTAAGAGCCTGTTGTGGTCTGCACCAGCGGTTCTTATGGCTGGGACTGTCTTGCTTTAAACATCGGGTTTACGTTCTAAAAACATTGTTCTTGTTCTGGTCGGTCCCAGCTCAATGGGAGCGTTGTATACCCTCGTACTTCCGTCTTGAGAGCGCGTCAGTGTCGTGCCGACGAGCGTTCAGTAGTCGATGAGACGGCGCCAGCTGAGCGTCGATGAGCGTCGATTCAGCGTAATTTAGCGTAGCGTCGGTTAGCGTCGTTCCGCAAGAGCCAACAAGATCGTATGGGAGGCTCCCAGGAGATGCTACCGAAGGAGCAGAACGAGTCGGGGACGAAATCTCCGTATCCACGGCCTCGCGGGCCGGGCCCATGGTCCGCGTTCCCGCGAATGGGGGGCGTTTTTGTTCGCGGATGCCCCGCGTGGAACGTGTCCGTACCACCGCGTATCTTTGTGATCGCGCCCCAGAATCCAGACCGCGGCGAGGGCGCGGATGCGGATGCGTTCGCCGTTCGTGAAAGAAGAGGGGGCTGAGGAGGAGGATGAAGAGGAGGAGGAAGAGGAGGCAGGTGAGGAGGAGGAGGAGGAGGAGAAGGAGGAGAGGGACGAGAGGTAGGGAGGGAAGGAGGGAGCAGAAAGAGGAGGAGGGGGCGGTGGAGAGGGATTGATTGATCACTTCCCTACGCGGGGGGCTAGGACTGGATCGGATCGACTCGGCAGGAGGAAGCCTCGAGCTCCACAGCGCCGTCTGGGGCCTCTCCATTGTTGGAGGGACCGCAAGGATGGAACTTAACAGCAAACACACCACTTGCGGCAGCTAGAGTGAAGCGAAGGCAAGCGAGTTGCATAAACCAGTTGCGAAAAATATGCTAGGACTGGAGGGCGGAGGGAAACGACAGGCGAGCCAGCTCTGATGTAGATGGCCAAACACCCCCAGGGGAGTGAACAACCACCCGCACCGCCAGGCACGACTACCGCTACCCGCCCGCCAAACATTCGAAACCTGACAAGTCTTCGCGAGAACTCAGTGTGCGGCACCAGCTCTTCCCAGCTGTGCCAGCTCCGCCGGATGACGAGGGGGGAAAGAGCGCGTTCTGTGGTCGCTTGGAGGGGGGGGGGAACCAGACCCTCCCCCCTCCCCTCCCCTTCTCCCCTACTTCTCCTCTCTCCCTCTTCTCGGGCCCGCGCCTGCGTCGGCGGCGGCTGGCGGCGGCGGGGACGACGACTTTTTTTTCTGGGCCGGCGCCGGCGCCTGCGGCGGCGGGCGGCGGCGGCGGGGAGCGTCGACGAGGTCGACGGCGACGACGATGACGACGACGACGACGCTCCGCCACCGTGCCCTGGTTTTGGGTCAGAGTCCTAATTGATGCCTCTTGGGGTCTCGTCGGAGGGCTCTCGGGGGCCTCTGAAGGGCATTTGTGCACCCCCCTGGGCGCCTCTTGGGCGTCTCTTGGGGTCTCTCTGAGGTGGTGGTGGTGGTGGTGGTGGTGGTGGTGGTGGTGGTGGTGGTGGTGGTGGTGGGCTGTGGTGGTGATAGTGGTTGTGGTAGTGGTGGTGGTGGTGGTTGTGGCGCTGGTGGTGGTGGTGGTGGTGGTTTGGTTGGTGGTGTTGGTGGTGGTTGTTGTGGTGGTTGTGGTGGGAGGTTGTGATGGTGGTGGTGGTGGTGGTCATTGTGGTGGTTGTGGGTTGAGGTGGTGGTGGTGGTGGTGGCGGTTGGGGTGTGGTGGTTTATCGTGGTGGTTGTGTTGGTGGCAGCGGTTGTGGTGGTGGTGGTGGTTGGTTGTGGTGGTGGTGGTGGCGCTGGTGGTGGTTGTGGTGGTGGTGGTTTGTTGTGGTGGTGGTGGTTGTGGTGGTGGTTGGTGGTGGTGGCGGTGGTGGTGTGGTGGTTTTGTGGTGGTGGTTGTTGCTTGTGGTGGTGTTTATGGCGGTGGTGGGGTGTTGTGTTGGTGGTGGTGGTGGTGGTGGTGGCGGTGGTGTGGTGCTGGTTTGTTGTGGTGATGGGTTGTGGTGGTGGTGGTGGCGGTGGTTGTGGTGGTGGTTGTAGTGTGCTGGTTTTGTGGTGTTGGTGGCGGTGATGGTGGTGGCGTTGGTTTATGGAGGTGGTGCTGGTGGTGGTGGTTGTGATGGCGGTGGTGGTGGTGGTGTGGTAGATTGTGGTGGTGGTGGTGGTAGTGGTGGTGGGGTGTTGTGTTGGTGGTGGTGGTGGTGGGTTGTGGTTGTGGTGGTTGCGGTGATGGTGGTGGTTGTGGTTTTGGTGGTGGTTGTGTGGTGGGTTGGTTGTGGTGGTGGTGGTGGTAGGATGAGGTGGTGTTAGTGGTGGTGGTGGTGGTGGTTGCGTCGTGGGGTGTTGTGGTGGTGGTGGTGGGCTGTCGTATTGTTGTTGGTGGTGGTGCTGCTGGTAGCGGCGCTGGTGGTGGTGGGTGGTTGTGTTGGTGGTGGTTGTGGTGGTGGTGGTTTGGTGGTTTGTGGTGGTTGTGGTGGTGGTGGGTTGTGGTGATGATTGTGGTTGTGGCGGTGGTGGTGATGGTGGCGGTAATGGTGTGGTGGTTTGTGGTGGTTGTTGTGGTGGCTTGTGGTGGCTTGTGGTGGTGCTGGTAGTGGTGGCGTTTTTGGTGGTCGTGGTGTTGTGGTTTGTGGTGATGGTGGTTGTTGTGGTGGTGGTGGGTTGTTGTGGTTGTGGTGGTTGTGGTGGTGGTGGTGGCGTTGGTGGTGGTGGTGTGCTGGTTTGTGGTGGTTTGTGGTGGTGGTGGTGTGGCCTTCGGCTCTACCCGCCATTGTGTTTTGGCTTTGGGTCAACGTTCTAATGGATGATGCCGATTGAGGTCTCGTCAGAAGGGTCTCGAGGGCGTCTGATGAACATGTGTGACGCCTCGTGGACCTTCCTCAGGGCCTCTCGGTAGCCTTTGGGGCGAGGGCTCGATATGGCGATTTGCATGTTCCCTCTGCGACCTCTGGGCTCATTCTGGTAATCGTCGCTGCGTCCCCGCCGTGGGCGCTGCTGGCCGCCGCCAGCGCCGGCGCCGGCGCCAGCGCCGGCGCCGGCGCGGGGGGGGGACCCCCCTGGGCCCTCTGTGGTCATCGTCGTCGCTGCGTCCCCGCCGTCGACGCTGCTGGCGGCCGCCAGCTCTAGCGCCGAGGGGGGGAGAGGGGGGGGTTCGGGAGGGGGGGGTTTAGGTGGGAGGGGAGTCCCCGTGGTTCAGATCGACGGCGCCGAGTGTTTTTTTCGGGGGGGGGGCGGTTCGAAACACGCCGCCGAATGTTCCCAAGGCAAGCGCCTGTGAAACGCGCCTTCTCCGAGGAAGAGGAGGAGGAGTAGTGTGACATATCATCGGACGGAGGAGACGGTGTGTGACCATCTTCGAACCCTGTCCATGCGTCTCCACGCGACGATGGGGTATCGGGTACTCCCGCTGGGGTCACCTAGTTGCAGACAGACTTCGAGTGATGAGTCATGACCTGCACGGGTTGGGCTCGCGCGTGGTTGCTTGGGGGAAATCTCAATGGCGCGCCGCCGTTGGGAGCCCGTCAGCGTGCTAGTCTTTCGTTTATGCTTGAACACCTGGAGTTTCTTCAGCAGTGCAAAGCTGATGCATTCCCCACGGCGGCGTGTCGTTGATACCGTTCCTTGCTCCCCCCCACGTTTTTGAAGATTGCCTCAACGTGTCTGTTGCACGCATGGGCGTAATTCGCCGTGCGGACCCCCGCTCGAAGACCGAGGGGATCGCAAGAATGGACGCGGGGCGGGCGCGGGGTCAAGTCATGCAGGCCAGGTCTCTTTGGGTTGAGCCTTGCTGCCGTTCCCGATCCTCCCACGCCTTCCTCCTCGCGCAGCCCCGATCCGCGGTAGTTTTCGTTCCCAGGGTCTTTCCTTTTGACAGGTGTCGCCATGCAGGAAGATGGTCCTGAGGGAACCTGTGCCTGGAGTTCTTTTTGAAGTTTTCGGGTCTCCGAGGCCTTCACTGGTCAAGCAGTAAGATGTGTCACCTCGTGCCCCAGGGCTTGGGAGAGCTGCGACATGTGACACGCTCTTCCGCGTCATGTCGGTGTGCCCCGTGTTGGGGGCTCGGGGGGGGGGGGCGTGTCGGTGTTGTGTCCGAGGCATCTTGGGGGTTTCTCGGGCTCTTGGTGGCTCCTTGGGCCGTCTGAGGGAGCTATTGGGCAGTCTGGCTCCTTCGGAGTCCGTCTGGGGGGCTTCTGTTACTCCTGGGGCCCTGTATGGCGCCTGCGGGGCCTTATTTGGGCCTCCTTGGAGGCCTCTTCGGCGAGAGTGGTGTTGTGCACGCCCTTGTTTGTGGTGCGTGTGGGAGGCGGTCTTTTAGAAGGCTTTCAGAGTTACCACCAGACACCACCTGGGTCTCTACTACGCCTCACCACGCCAGGGGGCACAGGCGGATTGTACACCGTTAGTGCAAGCCCACCGTATCCTTCTGATACAAGCGGGGCGATGGGGTCGAACTGGTGCACGAGGCGAAAGCAGAGGATGAGGAGTATGAGGAGCAAGAGCTGGCGGAGGAGCATGTGGAGTATGAGGGTGAGAAGGGCAGGGGACGGGGCAGGACGAGGACAGATGACGGTACAAGCAGAGGTGGAGCACGACGGCAACATGGACCAGGGACAAGGACAAGGAGGACATCGTTCTTGGGATGATAATCAGAGAGAGGATGGCGAGGACAACGAAAACGACGACGAAAGGACGAAACGGATGACAATAGTTAAATACGGAGAGAGGACGAACAGGAAGACAAGGAGAAGGATAATGGAAAGGACTATGAAGCTTGGAGGTCGCGGGCCGTGGGGGGAGGGGTGGAGGGCAAGGGGTCCATGAGGACGTCGAGTGAAAACTCCTCGCCCCCTCCCCTCCTCCTCCTCCTCCTCCTCCTCCTCCTCCTCCTCCTCCTCCTCCTCCTCCTCCTCCTCCTCCTCCTCCTCCTCCTCCTCCTCCTCCTCCTCCTCCTCCTCCCCCTCTCCTCCTCGTCCTCCTTCACTCAGGCACGCTGGCTTCCCCTCCCCCCTCTCCCCCTCCAAAGGGGTCCGCCTCAACGAGGTGTCTCAGTCACAGGTTTTCAGAGAACAGTCTGCTCGGCAAAGCTACCTTGGACCTCTAAGCCGCCCCAGGTTCTCTCCAGGAAGCCGTATAGGAAGCTATCTACGACTCGGGGAAGCTATCTGGGCGGGACCTCTTTTTGGGAGGCGTGGGGGGACTTTGTGCTGGGCCTGAGGTCTCGACCACACTTCTTCGCACGACGTGCATATCCGCGTCCCCCGCGGCCGCTTGCTCTGCCGGGATCCGACAGCTGCTGGCCCCAGGCCTCGAGGTGCCAAGATGCTTCCTGTTGGGCCTCTTCCCCCCCCCCTCGGAGGACGTGTAATGGCGGGGCGATCAATGAGGGGGCAGGGGGGGCTGCAGATAAGGGCCCTCTAGGGCAATTGTAGGGCCCCTAGAGGGGCCCTTTAGGGCCCAGAAGGGGGCCTGATTGTCCCGAGAAGGGCACCTTTCTTCCCCCCCATGTATCGCCCACCAATAATTCGCGCCCAACCTCCCCACCTGGACCTCTTCGCGGGGCGCGCTCCGGCCCCTTGCGCCCGCGGGGCCCGCGTATAACGCGTGTCCGTGTTGACGGGGGTCAGCCAGTCTCCTCAGGTCCCTTCTCTATAGGTCATCAAGAACAAAAGGACCCCTAACCCTAATAGCACGATGATGACGTGGCCTCCCTGAGATCGCCGTCTTCACATTAGGGATAATAGATATGGGCGGTTTGGCTTGGTACATCTGCGGAAAAGACCCCCCTATCCTAACTTAGGTCCCCTCGAAAAGGGTCAGGGGTCCTTTTTTGGTTAATCAATAGGTGGCCCTGGCGTGGGAGTTTCGGGCCGGACCTCCCCTCCCCCTCCTTCCGTTGGCCCAGGCTGGAGCTGTTGTGTGGCCGGCCAGGGCCCGCGACATGGCCTTGGCCGATCCAGATCGAGGTCGGTTCGTAGAGGATACCCCAGTGTTCGTCGTGCTTGTTTGATGTTTTTTGTGCGTCTTGGACAGGGTGCCCTTGGCTGTTCTCTTTGTTTGGGCCAACGGAGGGGTTCAGTCTTGCCTAGGACCAGCTGTTGCGCGTTCCCGAGGCCAGACTTCAAGGCTGGTCCACAGTGTCTACGAGGACTTCCTGGGAGACCCGCAGAAGGGCGAAGAACGTGAGAGCTCTGGATGCCGAACATTGTGCCCAGAGATCAGCCGACATCCAGTTGTTCCAATCTGAAGTTTTCTGGAAGTCACGGCTTGTCATCAGCTTGAGTCCTTTGGGCAAGTTTTGTATCCTTCCGGCGCAACGGGCGTCACCGGGGGGCGCGGCCGATGATGCAACGTTTTGTGCCTTTGTTCTGGTCCCCGACCCCGCCAGCGCCGAGCATTTCACCACCTGAGGGGGGGGCGGCGGGCCCAGAGGCGGAGAAACCGGATTTTTCTTGACCCGGTGGAGGCTCCAGGAGGCCGCCCGATGAGGGAAACGCATCCACGCTTGATTTGTCACATGCTCCGGCCGGAGGCCTGCTTGGAGGTCTCGCCGCCGTTCGCCTCGCGGAGAGCGCCCCCTCTCCTCTTGCAGGGCTCTGAGAGGACCTCCTGTCGGAGGAGGACGACTATACAGATCCAGGTCCACCTCGTCCCTCTCCCATCCCCCTTCCCGCCCGGGAAGGAGGCCAGCAGTCAGAGGAGGGGGGGGGTAGCGAGAGGGAGTGAGGTGGACCTGTTATACCCAGGGATCCGACGATGAGTTTTCATTCAATGCGCGGCCTACGGGGTCCAGACCCCTTCCCTGGGGGCAGGTTTCCAACCCGCATCCGTTTGTGGTGGGCCGGATTTGGGCCCCAGAGGCCATGGTGGCTGCGCGCGTGGCCGCAAACTTGAGGGATCGGGGGCGATCCCCCAGGCCCAAGTCAGAGGCACCTCGCTCCGCAAGCGGAGCCGGAGGGCGTGAGACACTACGGCAACAAAGCGCGCATGCAAGAGAAACGTAGTGGACAGGGCAGCAATAAATTATACATAGTAGTATACATCAGTCGCTCTTCATGAAATCTAGAAAATGCCGCGGAGCCGTTATGCTCCCGATGTCGGGAATCTCCTCCGCGTTTGCCGCGGAGCCGTTCTCCGAACTTCGTCGGCCGAACCGGGCCGCCATGATCGGCCGACTCCAGTTCGATGCTTCCCCTCGCCGCTCCATCGGCGACCCAGGCGGCGAACGATCGTGGATCCAGCGCCGAGCCAGCGTCGACACCCTCGCGGGCCCATCGCCGATCCAGCGGCGGAGTGGCGCCGACTCCAGGTCGATGCCTCCCTGGATGTGATGACCGTGGGTCGGGCCGGACGAAAGGGGGGGATTGGGAAAGGGGGGGTTACGAAATTTGCTGCATGCAGCTGGTTTCGGCCTCACCGAGGGGCCCATTCCTCGATACATAGCCGCCTCCGGCGCCGGGAGGCGCCGGGAAAACCAGCTACGTGAGCTGATTCTCAACCCCCCCTTTGCTATCCCCCCTTTTCGCCCGACCCGAGTGGGGTGCGTGACGACGGCGGGGTGTGAGGCGACGGTGGCATCCCCCCCCCCTCCCACGGCCGGCGCCGGAGGTGCGCGACGCTGCGTGGCTGCGGGTTCCCCGCGGCGCGCGGTGGCGAGGAGGGGGCGCGCCGTGGGCAGAGGGAGGGAGGGGGAGGGGGGGGGGGGACAGGAGGGAGGCATGGTGGGGAGGAGGGTGGAGGAGGAAGGGAGGGGAGAGGGCGGGAGGAGGGAGGGAGGGAGGGAGTGGTCCGTAGCCATTTTGGCTCCAGTTTTAATTCCGTGTCGAGGGGCTTCGAGCTGAGGCTTCCGCCGCCGTGCGACAAACATCGAGGGGACGCCCGACGCAGTTCACACCATTGTCGGAGGCGAGTTTTGACGTGGTAATTGGAAACCACCGCCCTCATGTCTGGCGGCAGGGATGTGCTGTTAGGTGCAGCAAGCCGTCCAGGGGATGCACGAAGTGTCACAGGAAGGGCATCGGGGCGTCTCGGATCAAGTGTGCATGTGGAAGCGCAGCGCCAGCCGAGATTGTCAAAGCAGTTAAAGAAAGCGCATGACAACATCGTGTCAGGTGATGGTCGACAGGTCAATCGTGGGCCGCAGGGCAAGTGGAAGGAGGGCAATCCGCTGGAGTCCTTACAAGACCATCCTCAAGAGGCTTGAGGGCCTCGCGTCGAAGCTGGCTTCGACTCCTCCATGGGCTGCGGTGGCCCAATCAGGATCGAGTGGCGATGAGGGCGGTCAGACCATGGAGACCAAACACATGAAGTAAAGGTTGGGTTGTTGGCAGAAGACGGCGGGGCGTGCAGTCAACATTGAAGGAAACGCGTGGCGGAGGATCAAGCTGACACTCTTCAGGAGCAGCTGCTGGACTCAAAACCGTTGCACGTTCGCCAGTTCTCAATCTCTACGAGGCGTAGGAGTGCCGAAGAAACATGAGTCAAGTTGCAGAGCCATGCGGAGCAGGTTGCCGAAGAAGTCGAGGAGGCAAAGGCAATTCTCGAATCGAGGCTGGAGGAGGCAAACATCAGTGTTCTGGAGTCCAGAGGGCAAGTCGACCAGCTGGAGCATGAGGCTAAGGAGTCGTTCGCAGAGCGTGTGGGTTCGATGGGGGCATGGCCAGTGTTCAACATGGAGGAACCGCTCTTCGTGTCAGCCAGTGGGTCGTTCAAAAACTGGTTCAAGTTGCAGACCAGTGATGCGACAGGCTCGGCCCACTTGGAAACACTCAGGCCCTTACTTGGGTCCGAAGCGATTGCAGCAGGCTCGAAATGTCAGTTCGTATTCCTCTCTCGGGTTTTTTGGGGGCCCTCTTGGGGCCCTCCAGGGGCTGTCTTGGGGAGCCCCTGGGGCTGCCTAGGGGCCCTCTTGGGCCATCTTGGGGCTTCCTTGGAGACATCATGGTCCGCCTTGGGACGATCTTGGTGGCCACTTGGGCCGTTGGGTTCGCTGTCAAAACGTAGAATGCGAATGTGCTGAAAGTGTACGTGTTACCATGGGGGATGGGATGATCTTGGCCTCTTGGGGCCTTCTCGGCGATCCTCTGGAGGCTCTTTTGGGCTGCCTTGGAGGCCTCGTGGGACATCTTGAAGCCATCTTGAATCGTCGTTGGGCTATCCTGGGCTGTCATGACGCTTTCTTCGACTGTCTTGGCGCTCTGTCTGGGCCCTGTTGGGCTGTCTTGGGGCTTCTTGGGGGCTCCGGAGGCCCCAGGGTGTGTTGACGAGGTCCCCCGTAGAATTGCATTTTGGAGGGGGTAGGAAGGAAAGTGGAGGGGGTCAGCCAAATGTCTTACACGGATTTCCATCCTTGGCAAGCGGCGGTCGGCGGATTTTCCTCTTCCTCTTCCTCCTCCTCCTCATCCCCCCCTCCCCCCCCCCGATCGAGGGCGTCGATGTCGACGTCGACGTCGTCGAAGCCCTTCGTCTCAGAGGCTTCTCTGGTCGTCTCTTGATGTTCCCGCAGTCACGGCGGGGCGCTGCTCGGAAAAGTTGGCCAGGACTGACCACAAAGGGGCTCCCAGGACCGATGTTGAGATGATGTTCTTTGAGATTCGGGCGTTGCATTTTCTTCGCTGGGCTGTCTCGCCTGGGCTTGGGCCGTCTTCGGACGTCCATGGGTAGGATCTTCGAGTCGTCTTTGATGACCTTTGATGGCAGAAGCCTGAGGCATCGGAGTTACCCTCAGGCCGATCGCCAAGCGCTGCGAGGTCACTGGGCTCAGGGTTGATGGTCCGCGCTTCGGCGCGAGAGAACCTAGGTAGACCGTCTCATTATGCCCCCAAACTCGATCTTCTGCTGCAGGGATAGCACAAAGCATTGTATTGCATTGTGGATTTAATCTCCGGCCAGAGCGCCCTAGTTGACTGGCTTCACTTACCCCCGATGTTCGACATCCTGGCTGGGGTCTCGACCAGGCGTGCTTCACTCCGAGGGGGCCGCGAAGGCGCGCGGGAGGAAAGAGACGAGGAGCACAACGCTGCAATCGTCCTGAGAGACATCCCGACAATGCACGAAGATCAACCCAGGCTTGTACATTGCGATTTCCAGCGCGTATGGCAAAGGCCAGCAGTGGCAACGGGCGCTGTCGCTGCTCAGCGAGGTACGGGAGTCGAAGCTGGACCCCAGCGTCATCTGTATTGGTCGGTTCCTTCGCTGTTCGCCTTTCGGCCCTGGCCTCGCTCGCCTTGCGGTCCCCTCGGTCGGCCCCTCGTCGCCTGCTGTTTTCAGGGGGCTTCCGGTTTGACGCTAACCCACGTCGAAAACAAACTGTTCCTCGTTCTCCATGGCACCCCGCGCCACACCGCTCGTGCCCGGGATTCGGCGCCCTTGCTCGCCCCCTCGCTTGCCCGACAGGAGCGCGCCGAAGGCGCAGAAGCGACCATCTGGGACTTCGGGGCGCAGCTCGGCATCGAGGCCTGGCCGAGGAGGAGGCGGAGGAGGAGGAGGAGGAGGAGGAGCAACGACGAGGATGACGATGCTGTTGCTGCTGACGGCGACGACGAGGATGACGATGACGATGACGATGGAGATGATGATGACGATGATGATGATGATGATGCTGATGCTGATGATGATGATGATGATGATGATGATGAGGATGCTGATGCTGATGCTGATGCTGATGCTGATGCTGATGGTGATGCTGATGGTGACGGTGATGGTGATGGTGATGGTGATGATGATGATGATGATGATGATGATGATGATGATGATGATGATGATGATAATGGTAATGATAATGATAATGATGCTGATCATGATGATGGCGATGAAGATGACGATGACGATGCTGATGACGACGATGATGGTGCTGATGATGATGATGCCGATCATGATGACGATGACGATGTAGATGATATGATGCTGATGATAAGGATGATGCTGATGATGCTGATGATGATGGTGGTGATGGTGGTGAGGATGATGCTGATGATCATGAAGATGCTGATGATGATGCTGGTGTTGATCATGATGATTGTTATGATCATGGTGATGGTGATGACGATTACGACGCCGATACTGATGACGACGAGGATGTTGCTGATGATGATGATGATGATGCCGACGACGATCACGATGATGATGACGATGATCATGATGATGCTGATGATGCTGATGATGCTGATGATGATGGTGGTGGCTGTGATGATGATGCTGGTACTGATGCTTACGATGTCGCTGATGGTGATGGTGATGGTGATGGTGATGGTGATGCTGCTGATGGTGATGATGATGGTGGTGGTGGGGGTCGTGGTGGTGGTCGTGGTGGTGGTCGTGGTGTCGGTTTGGTCGTCTTGATGCTGATGATGATGGTGGCGATGTTGGTGTTGGTGGCGGTGACGATGATCATGATGGAATTGACGCAGATGATGATGGTGCGGGCGGTGTGATGGTGATGGTCATGATGATGATGCTGATGTTGATGCTGATGCTGATGCTGACGTTGATGGTGATGGTGACTTTGCTGGTGATGGTGGTGGTCATGGTGGTGCCGGTGATGGTGATGGTTATGATAGTGGCGATGGTGATGGTGATGGTAATGGTGAAGAGGATGACGATGAGGATGATGATGCTGATGTTGATGACGATGATGACGATGCTGTTGCTGATGATAATTGTGATGCTTATGATGATGCTGACGACGGCGGTGTTGCTAATGGTTCTGGTAGATGATGATGACGATGATGATGATGCTGATGATGATGATGCTGATGATGATGCTGGTGATCCTGACGATGGTGGCGATGATGATGATGATGGTGATGATGATGATGATGATGATGATGATGATGATGATGATGATGATGATGAGAAGGAGGAGGAGTATGCTGATGATGCTGCTGCTGATGATGATATTGAGGAGGAGGTGGAGGAGTAGGAACCGGAGGATAATCACTATTTGAAGGAATCGATTGACTCTGACGGGTCGAAGGCTGCCCACAAGTTCCTCTAAGTGCTCCCACATCAGCACGTGGTCGCAGGGCCTGGTGGCACCGTGTCGGATGAACAGATCGGCCAGATCCTCCAGATTATTCCCCCTAGAAACGGCTCGAGCACAAGAGGTCGGTTTGGAAGGATGCTTGGACAGCGTCTGAGACAGATAGCTACCCGCCGTGCTCCCCGGGCATTCCTGTTGGCAGGAAGCCACGCCGCGAAGAGTGGATCAGATCGCTCTCCAGAGGATTCAAATCATCTACCTGCTGACCCGACGGGTGGCACCCTCGGCACTGATCAAATTTGTTCGAAGGTGCGTTGTTCGTTGTTTCGTTCATCTTCCAGCTCATGCAGATGACTTGCCGCACCCCGTCAAACTTGTGCAGGCTCTTGGTACCCCTGGTCCTCAAGTCCGAGCCGTCCGTGAAGCGACGACCTCTTGGGCATTACTCTGGGTTCGGTAGTCTGTTCGGAAATGTCCAGAAGAAGCAGGCCACCGACTGGGCGTTCTCCATGGCGTCTAAGAGGTCCCCTGAAGGTGCGGGATTGTGGCAGATTGTATTGGCTGCAGCTGCTGGGATTTCAGGTGGCTTCTCCCTCCAGGTCTTTTGGGATAGTAAGAAGTTCAACGAACACGTCTCCTACGACCTCTTCTTTATGGTTGCCCAGTACTGCGAGTACACTGCCTACCTCATCCTCTCTTGGGTGTCCACCTACCAATGGCCTGGGCAATTGGTGCTGGATGGCCTTCTGCACACGGCTTTATTCCCATGGCAAGGTATCGTTGCAGGATCGACGCTAGCTACGTACGGGGCCAAACGTTTTTGAAGCCGAGTGTTCGCGCGACCTCAGCCAGCATGAATGACTCTGCCAGCCTTTCCCTCCACGTTGACGATTTTCCCCAATCAGAACTTGCTTTGTGGGGTCCTTGCGGATTCATATGGTTATGTGAGTTATGGCGCCGATTTCGGCGGCACGCCCAGGTGCAAGGGTGCCCGGGTGCCCGGGTGCCTAGGTGCCCGGTAGCCTTATAGCCCTATAGCCCTATAGCCCTATAGCCTAATAGGCCTATAGTCCTAATCGCCCTATAGCCCTGTAGCCTTCTAGTCCTGTAGCCCTATAGCCCCATAGCCCTAAAACCCCTTAGCCCAATAGCCATATAGCCCTATAGCCCCATAGCCTTATAGCCGTATAGCCCTATAGCACTATAGTTTTATAGCCCTAAAATGATTATGATTGGGTTTCCACCGGTATCATTCCGCTGCAGTAGTCGGGTGACAGCATGGATTGGGTCATCGCTGCGCTGTAGGGACTAGCTACCATGACCTATATGTTTCTCACCCTGGACCTCCATCTCCCGATGGTGTTTAAGACATTTGGGTTGTAAAGTTTGCCCATCGGGCTCCAAGGAGATCTTGGAGGCCCCGCTGCGGATATGGAGCGGTCACCGAGTTTGGGATTGACCATGTTGGTGGCCGGCACCGGTTCCAGCCAGGAGCTAACAAGAAGAGGGATTCCAGATTTGATACATTCCAGGCCAGGAGGAGGATGGTGAGGATGACAACCAAATTTGGGAACAAGAACTGGCTGCGCCAGGCCAACTTAGGGCGGTCTTGCACGCGTTCAGCCCGCACCATATTGCAAAAGTCAGAGCTGCTGCTGGCAAGAACACGGGCGTCGTGTTCAAAGATGCTCAGCGCGACCTTTTCTGGGGCCTCACGAAGTATGCTGACCCGATTGGCGTTATTGCTAAGAGTGTGCAGGGACTTGCGCAGGAGTGCTGGATTACCACTGCGGTGCATAAGGATGAGCATGTTCACCAATACGTTATTCCTGTTGCGATTCCTTTTCGAGCTCACCATTCCGTAAATACCCGCGTGGATTTCACTGAAGGTCGGAGCTGGCATTTCAGGACCATGGGGCCCATCTCGGATGCGTACCTCTGGCTGACATGGTTGGGTGGGGGTGTCTGCGTGCTGGAGTATTTGTGGATCGTCATGGCCCCCTGCCTGAAGCTCACTGAAGTTGCATTATCGATTGTTGTGCAGACTTTCGTCTCCTAGCTTGAGGTCACCCGTGTCCAAAAGGAGGCTTGCCTCACCTGTGACAAGTTGGAGCTCGACTCTGAGGGTCTTGAGTCCTGGGGCCTCTGGTGGGAGGTTATGCGCACGGTGCTCGCGTCGTTCAAGTGAGAGTGGAGCCACTTCGACATGGTCAGGCCACTTCGGCCTCGCTGTCTTCAAGAACTGAGGCTTCCAAATTTCTGGAGTTTGCGACGGACGCTGCAAGCCAGGCGCGGCATGGCATCGCGTCTGGAAGGGCACGTGCTCCAAGGAAGGCCACCACCATTGGGATAGTCTGATAACATTTACCCCGATGAAATGATCGACCAAGACCTATAGGCCTGAGTCGTTTCTTCTTGGCAGAGCGCGGCTGGCCAGCGCGATCACGACTTGCGAGCCACTTGCGCCGCGTTGGCAGATTAGTAGTTTTGGCCCTGATGGGCCTATGTGCGATGAGTTAACTCCCTGCTTGGGATTTTTTGTTCGGACAGGTCCTACGTCGTTCCCTGGATCAGCCACCTCTCCCGCGTGGGCGTCAGCTTGGTCAAAGTTGTCGAGAGAGGGGACCTTAGCAGATTACAGTCGAGTGGTGCAGCTGAGCATGCCGCCATAGTCCCTGCAAGCTTCTACAGTGAGGACCATGGCAAGAGGATGGAAACTTATCTCGACTACGCCACCTTGTTGGGCCATCACCAGTGGGCATGGTCGGGGGCCAGCCCTCAGGCCCACATTTGGAGAGAAGCCGACTGGTTCCAACCTGGGCCTCCGCCGTGTTTTTTTGGTTTTTCTTTTCCGAGGTCGATGCTCATCGAGATGAAGACCAGCTCCCAAGCGAAGAGCTCAAGGTGCTGCGTACAGGAACCTGGTATGTCGACTATCGTGCTTTGTTGGCCGCCAACAGTTAGAGTTTCAGCAGTGCCATACTTGAGGACTACAGAGCGACCCTTTAAGCTGTGCGCCGCCCTGCGCCATGGGATAGGGCACGTGCTTCGGGAGGGGCTTTCGTTCGGGGGACTTGGGGGGGCGGGGAGGGGGGGATGGCCGGCTCCGCGCGTGGGTCCCAGGGGGCCGCCCCCCGAAGTCCAAACTCCTGGAGTCCCTGTTTGACACTGCGGCAAGAGGAGGTGCAGTGCAGTGCGTGTCTCAGGAAGCCAGGACCCAGTCCTTGAGTCTTTGAGTGTTGTGGTTGCAACCATGCCCTGGAGTCCATCCTTTCTGCCCCTCGCCTTCAGCATGCCCGTGAGATGGCGTCGATAGAGATCGATGGGCTTCCAGTCCTCTTTTGCTCAGTGTGCGGCGGCTTCGCCGTGTGCAAAACCAGCTGCCGCCGCAAGCTGTTCGCCGCCTGCTCCTGCGAGGCCTGCTCAGAGAGCAGAAAGTTCAATAGAGGTTTCCTTCCAGCTGCTGATGCTTCGATAACAGCTGAAGTCGGGCCTTCGGCGGTGAGCTGGGGGGGGGGAGGAGGAGGAGGAGGAGGAGGAGGAGGAGGAGGAGGAGGAGGAGGAGGAGGAGGAGGAGGAGGAGGAGGAGGAGGAGGAGGACGCCCGCTCACCGGTCTCCCCGCCGCCGGCCGTGGCTTTGCGGGCTCCGAGAGCGGCCTGGCTTCTTGTCTGCAGTGCGCTGTGTTTGCATGGCGTTGCGCGTCAGAGCTCACCGTTCACAGGTGAGGGGCGAGGCCTGGAGCACCGGGGAACACTTGGAGGAGGAGGAGGAGGAGGGCCGATGGGTGGGAGGAGGAACTAGGGGGGTGGGCAGGCGGAAAATGAGCAGCCGGGGCAGGGTTTGGGATGATTGAACAGGATGAGGAGCTCGAGCAGCATGAGTTTCAGGAACCCCTCAGGGCGTGACGGCTCCTCGTCAGACGATGTGGCGAGGATCAAGCCACACAAGTTGAGGCACCTCTGCATATTCCACAAATGGTGTCTGCACTTAGGGGTTCTAGCTTTTGTAAGGAACTGGGCCTGTCTGTCGGTCTGGCTGCATGTTGCCGCCGTCGCCAACCCGTCGCCGCTTTGTCACCGCCCGTCGCCTGGGCCTGCCTGTCGATCTGGCGGCTATGTCAACGCCGTCGCCGCCTCGTCTCCGTCTAGTCGTCGCCGCTCGTCGTCTGGGCCTCTCTGCTGGCTCGGCGGCTATGTTGCCGCCGTCGCCTATCGTCGCCGCCGGTCGTCCGGGCTTGTCTGACGGTCTGGCGGCTATGGTGCTGCCGTCGCCGCCCAGTCGCCGCCTCGTCGCTGCCGCGTATGTTGCCGCGCAGAGATTGTGCATCATATATTGCACCGCGTATCTTACACAACATACATTGCACGACATAGATTGCGCAATGTAGATTGCACGGCGTAGATTCTCCTTTCTAACGGTATTAACGATACATCTTTTCGTATTGCAATTTGCATATGGTTCTGCCCTATCGTCCATCTTAAATATGACTTCATACAATCCCAGCCAATCCAGTATCACTACCCCCGCCATGCTCTGCAACAGATACTGTGCGCGCGCTCTCGTTTTTCAAAAATCATAATTGTCCAAGAGTCCCTCACAAAAAAAGGGACGAAGTGCACACGCGCGCGTCGTCGCGCGCGTATGCCGAAATCCTTCAAAAACATGTGATTTCGGACGCATTTCAAAATCGAGCTTAACAAACAAACATACACAAACACAGGGTTTCCCAACACAGATTTGCTAAACAACCTTACGCGCGCGCTTTTGCGAAATCTTTATTTCCAAGAACTACTACCAAACGGGCTTCGCGCGCGCATGTCGAAATCTTTGAAAGAGCGTGTTCTACCGCTGCCGGCGGAAAACCGAGGGGGGGTCATTACCGGTTCGAGCCTCTCCCCCCCCCCCTTCGGAAAACCAAGGGGGGGGGGGCCACTACCGGTTCGAACCCCTCCCCCCCCCCGGGGGGTGGGACGGTCCGTGTCAGGCCATGCCATGCGGGTCTTCCCGCGTCGGCCACACGCGCGCGCGTCGAAGTCCTTCCCAAACCTGTTCGCCGACGCGGGGACGCCGTCGTCGTCGTCGTCGTCGTGACCAGTATCGGCACCGTCACTGGCCTGTCCATCGTCGTTGTCATCATCGTCACCGGCATTGATTGCTGTTTTTCATCGTCGCGTCTACCGTTGCTGGCGTTGCCAGGCTGTCGCGCCCGCCCAATTCGCCGATTCGCAGTGAAGTGCCCGGTGGGAGATGCTCAGCGGCCGGCGCCACCACGACTGCGTCGAGCGCGCCAAACTAGGCGGTTGCGCGCGGGAACATGCGCGCTGGCGCGGCCGCGGCGATGCGCCAGCCAGCGTCGAGCAGTCCTCGCAATCGCCGCCGCATCGGTTCTGCAAACCAGAGTCCAGGTGGGTGGATGGGATGATTGCGCGAGCAATGGAGTTGACAATCGCAAGTTCGGCAGGATGACTTTGTTTTGCAGAAGAGTAATACGACCTACCCCCGCCTCCCCCTCCCTGAAATTTGCGATCGGTTCTCCGTTTCGACTTAGCTTTCGTATGCGTTTACCCCATCGTCCATCCTACATATGAACTCGTACCATCCTAGGCTGGCCCAGGGGCAGAAACATCGACCAGCGATCTGCCATTTATCGCCGTTCGGGGTTCGGTTGCTGCCCGGTATCGTGCGGTTCCGCTTGTAATGCTGGAAACCCACCGTCGATTTACCGGCTATGAGCCCTCGATGGTCGAGCTTTCTTCCTTCCCTCGGGCCGCTTCGGAAACTCCAAAATCGTCGTTTCGAAACCTTGTTTCGTTCGCGTTCCAGGGTGGGCTTCCCGGTAAAACCTTGGGGCCCAGCATCCGTTTCTTTGAGGGCCCGTTCCACAACCTAAGAGAATGACGCTCGTCGTCGCCGCCGCCGCCGCCGCCGCCGTCGTCGTCGTCGTCGTCGTCGTCGTCGTTCAGTTCGTCAATGTCGTCGATATCGTCGTTGTTGACGTCGTCGTCGTTGACGTCGCCGCCGTTGGCGTCGTCGCCGTTGGCGTCGTCGCCGTCGCTATGCTCCTACCCGGCAGGCGACTGGTACGCCGCCGCCGTTATCGTCGTCGCCGCTCTGGCTGTCGCCCTGGATGCTGCCGCTGCTTTCTGCCCAGAGGGCGACGCCGCGGCAGCCTCTCCTTCGTGCCCGAGGCCGCCGACGCCATGGTCATCGGCGTCAGCGTCGGCGGTCTCCCCGTCGCCGATGTCGTCGTCCTCGTCGTCCTCGTCGTCCTCGTCGTCGCCGACGTCTGCGTCGCAGTCGCAGTCGTCGACGGCGCTGGCGTCGTCCTCGTCGGCGCCGTCGGCGTCGTCGTCGCCTCGCGGGGCTCGGCCGCCCAAGCGCGCGCGCGGCCCCCGCGGCAAGGCGCCGCCAGTGCCGCCCCCGCCGCCGTCCGCCCCCGGGGCCGCTGGCCACCGCCCTGGCTCTGCGGAGACGGGCGCCCTCCCTCGCGGGCGGGGCCGTCGGGAGATCGCGCGGGGGCGGGGGCTCCGGTCCAGGCCTTGGCAGAGGGGGGTGCGAGTGGACGGGCGTTGCCAAAGGGTTGCAGAAGAGCGTGCGCCCTGCGTGCCAGACTGGTGTCCGACGCAGGCCTCCCAGGTGGGGTGCGAGTGGACGGTCGGCGGCGACGATGGGGGCGAATAGCCCAGTGGGGGGGAATTGCAGGTATTCGCCCTGGAGCCTCGCCGAAGGCATGGGCCATCGACGGCCGTGGATACATGTATTGCTCTCCCCAGGGCTACTCGCCCTCATCGTCGCCCCCGAGACGGGCGTTGCCAATCGAGTGTGCGATAAATGGGGGGGAGGAACGAGAAGAGCGTGCACCCTTCGTGCCCCTAGAGTAAAGCGGCGATGCGGCGCCATTCCGACCTCATCTCCTCGGACCCGATTTTGGAGGCCTGTCGGCAGCGCGCTGGGGGGGGGGAGCGAGAGGCGGCATGCCTTCTCAGAGGTCTGCGGGGTTTCTCAGAAGCCCTCAAGCCTTCTGAGGAGCCCCGCGTTGGCTTCCCAGAAGGCTTTGAACGCTTCGCAGAAGACAGGAGGCCTTCTGAGCCTTCTGGGAAGACCGTTCCCCTCGAACTTATCCCCTGGGCACGCAGCCGAAAGAGGGGGGTGAGGACAACCAGGCGGCGACAGGGACTCAAGCGAAACACCCGGCCTGGCCTACCGACGCGTCTGGTTCTTCGACAAGGGGGAGTTAGTTGTGAGGGCGAGGAGCGGGGGTGGGCAGAGGAGGAGGGGGGAGGAGGAGGATAATGGAGGCGGGAGAGGAGGAGGGAGATTAGGAGGGGAGGTGGCGGAGGAGGGGGAGGGGTACGATGGGGATTGGGAGAGGTGAAGGACGAGGAGGAAGAGGAGGAGGATGAGGAGCATGAGCATGACTAAAAGACGAAGTCCTAGACATAAAAGCCACCCGCTGGCCATCTCCAATTATATGAGGGAGTGGTGGGAGATGTACACGGCGAAAGCCATACATATTGACAACATTCAGCTCAGGTAGAATCAGCTCGATGCGGCCCTTGCTCAATGATGTGACAACGTATCACTGGTCATCGGGCAACCTCCCAAAGGAGATAGCCTCCTCCACGGGCAGCCCCTCAATACCAATTCCAAAACCGCACCCGCGTTCGAAAACGAATTGACCTCTTGACCTTCCAAGCCTCTGTGCAATCAACCGCAGAGTTAGCGACAGTGGACACTGCGGGATGGGGAGAAGGTCCCACAAACTCCCAATGCATACCACGAGCCACTATTCCAGCACCACGCTTGGAATACGCCCAGGTAAGGTAGCAGGCGGGTGGGTCAATGCCAGCAGCCAGCGGCTCCCCCCCATCGACCCTGCAACTGGGGCGGATGTCCTCCACGACGGTCGTGAAAGCAACTCCCGCTCGCCTGAAATAAGTACGTTCAGACCGCAGGCGGATGGGTAAATGCCAGATGCTACCCCCATCAACCCTGCACCTGGGGCGGATGTCCTCCGCGACGGTCGTGACAACAACACCCGCTCGCCTGAAATACGCGCAGACCGCAGGCGGGTGGGTACATGCCAGCGGCTCCCCCCATTTCCCCTGCAACCTATTCTTACAGCGGCGCGCGCGACGGGGAGTCGTTGTGATTTCGACGTGCGCGCGCGAAAGGCGCGTTTCGTAGCATGTTATGGACGTGCTGGAGGCCGGCGATTATTCGCAAGACCGCGAGCGCAATATGTTTCTGGAAATCCGCGCTGGGAGACCAGGTGTTTCTCCATGTGTTCGTGGCGCTCGATTTTGGAATCTTTGCGACACCTTTGAAAATTGAAGGATTTTCGCACGCGCGCGCGACGACGCGCGCGCCTGCGTTGCGAATATTTGTTCAGGGGTGTTTGAGAACTGATACGTTTGGATGCACGGGTGCGCGCGCGTCGCATTCATTTGAAAGGATGAGGGGGGGCGGGGGGCGGTTTGGCAAGTGTCATGTGCGCTTGTGTGCAGGATTGTCGATGGGGCCGAATCACATGCATATTGCAACGCGAAAGTGAGGGCCGATAAAACCCGAAAGGGGGGAGGGGGGGGGCATTCAGGGGGGGGGCATTTGGCAGTGCGCACAGTGCGTCTGCAATCTACGTGTCGCAGTCGATTTGGCGCGAATCGAATCATTTCTGGGCCATTCGCCCGCCAGCTCAACCGCGAACATATCTCGCGCCGCGCTGCAATGAATGCTCGGCGGAGCCCGGGCAAATTCGCGCGCGCCAGGAACGGGGCTCAGATCGGAGAGGGCGCGCGCAGCTTAGAACGCGCGTTTCCGCATTTTCTCGGGATTCCTGCAGGAGGCGCAAAGTGAGTTTAGTGCCCTGAGCTGGGGGCGCGGACCGGCGGGGGCGGGGCGATTTTTGGGGTCGCTTGGGATTTGCGCGCGAGGCTCCGGGAATGGCGTGGGGTTTGAGTGGGAAGCGATGGTTATAAAAAGTGAATTCCTGGATTTGGGAAGTATTTCGAGTGGGCTGCGCTGGCTCTGGGGGGTTTTGAAGTCGGGGGTGGTTTCGTGGAAGGCGCTGGGGGTGGGAGAGGCGCTGGAGTTGGAAAGAGCTCGACATTGAAATCGCCGGTTTTGGGGGAATGTGGGAGTTGGCGCGGTTTCCAGTCGAAAATGTTGAGGTTTGATGTGGGGCTGGAGTCGGGGGGATTGAAAGTGGGGGGCGCTTGGGTTGGGAAGGGTTCATGTCGAAAGCGTGAAGGATTGGGGGCGATTGGGGAGTTGAGAGGGGTTCCGCATCGAATGCGCTGGGGCGTGGGAGAATCTGGGAATTTGAGGGGTCTCTAAGCGAAGAGCCGCGGGGTTCGGGCGGGTTTTCGAGTTGGGGAGGGTTGTGCATTGCATGCGCGAGGCTTGGGCAGGAATCTGGAGTTGGGGGGGTCTGGAGTTGGGGGGCTCGGAGCCGGGGAAGATGTCGAGCGGACAGTGCCGGGGCTGAAGGATTTTGGATTTTGGGGCGGATTCTGCGTCGAACGCGCCGGGGTCTGGAAGGTTCGTGGAGTTTAGGGAGGTTTTGCATGGAATGCGCCTGCGTGGGGGACTTGTGGCTTGGGGGGGGGGGTTGAATGGAATGCGCTGGGATGGGGTTGTTTTGGGAATCGGGGTGCATTTCGACGGGGGAACGCTTGGATTGACAATTCTTGGGTGGGGGGGGTTCTCGTGGAGAGAGCTGGGGCTGGGCAGGGTTTCGGAAGTTGGGAAAGCCTTCGCATGCAGCGCGCTGGCGTGCGTGGGGTGATTTTGGAGTTGGGGGGGCGATGCGGGGCGCGCTGGGGCCGGGGGGGGGATTTTGAAGTTTTTGTATGCGTTTTTGCTGGCGCGCGTTGGTGGAGGGGTAGTTTGAGTGGGGGGGCATTTTGAACGGCGGCGCTGGAGTTGGGGATGATGCGTTGAATTAGGGGGGGATTTAGATTGGAAAGCGCCCAGGTTGGGTGGATTTCGGGTTGGGGAGGTGCTGGGGCGAAAAGCTGAGGGGTTCGGGAGGATGCTGGAATCGGGGGGGGGGGGGGATTCGGAATGGTTTTGGAGCTTGGGGGGGTCTAACTGAAAGCGCGGGGGTAGGGGGGGATTTTGAAGATGGGAGGGCGCGACGGGGAAAGCGCTGGGGCTGGGGGGCTTTGGAGCTGGGGGGGCCTGCGACGTGGAATGCGGGGGGGGGCTTAGGGCTGGGGCGATTTGAAGCGGGGCGACCTGGTCAGATGGGGGGCGTGGAGTTGGGAAGGACTCGATTGAATGGCGCCGGGGATGGGGGGTCTCGGAGTTGGAAAGGGTTTTTCATTGGCGGCGCCAGGTCTGGGGGGGATCTGGGGGTCGGGTGGAATTTTCGATGGGGGGCGTCAATGTTCGTTGCGCGCGCGCTCGCGCGTTCGCGCGGGGGGGGGGGGCTGGGGTCGGGAAGGGGGTTTACTGAGAAGGGTTATTGGAATTCAAATTGAGTGTCCTGAGATTGGGATGGATTTTAAAGCTGAGGGATTTTCAATGGAAAGCGCTGTGACTGGGGCGTTTTTTTTTTGCAGGATCTTAAAGGAGTTGGGTTGGGAATGATTTGGGATTCGGGGGGTATCTCTTAGGGGGGCGCAGGGTTTGGGGCGGGTTTGGACTCGGCGAGGATTTGAAACGGATGGCGCTGGTGTTGGGGAAAGATTTGGAGTTGAGAGGGGCTCGAGACATGGGCGGCGCTGGGGTCTGGGAGGAGTCCGGGATGGGGTCGGATTTGAAGCGATGCGCCTCGGGTTTCGGATCTTGGAGCGGTGGAAGATGCGGGGCCGAAAGCGCAGGGGTTGGGGGGGGAAATTGAAGTTTATCCGGGCTTAGCAGGGGGGGCGCAGGGGGCGGGGGGGTTGTGGAGTTGGGAGGGGCGCTAAATTGCAGCGCCTGTCGTTTGGGGGATTTGGGGGCTGGGGGGTTTGGTGGTGGGGGGCGCCGAGCATGGGGGGAATGGCGAAACGTATCGGGTTTGGGCGGGATTTTAGAATTGTGGCGGGTTCTCCAATGGATATTGGGAAGGGATTTAAATTGGCCGCCCCAGGGGGAGTCTAAAATGGAAAGCGCGGGGGGTGCGGCAGATTTTGGAAGTGGGGGCGATTGCAAGTGGAAAGCGCCGAGATTGGGTTGGCTATTGGAGTTGGGATGGGCCGCGAGTGGAACGCACTTCCTCTTTGCGATTGGTTTAGTGCGTCGGTTAGAGTATTCATTTGATGTCGTTGGCGTTGGGAAGGACTTGGGAGTTGGGGCGGGCTGAAAGCGCGGGGCGCCAGGGCAGGGCAGGATATTGGAATGGGCGGGCTTTGCGCGCAGAGCGTTGGGATTTGGGCCGCTTTTGGAATTGGGTGAATTCCGCGCGCAGGCGCCGCGGTTGAGGGGGGATATTGGGGGCCCAGGGGGTTTTACATCGAAATGGTCGTTGGGGCTTGGGCGGCGTTGGAA